TCAAGAATATGTTCCCTTATCTGGTTTACCTTTGAATATGCTATTAAAAGCATTTGATGATGAACTACCACTGTCAATATTTAATGAAGCTCTGCCAAGTTTCCCTGCCTTTCAATGTATCTGGCCAATGCCAGACAATCAAGATTTTATGAACATTTAAGTGTTTTCATTATATAGACAGTCAGGTTGTACCATCTAAATTGGGGAGTTGATTGTCACCAGGAAGGAGAAAATAATTAATCGATTTACAGCACATTTGCATCCAGAAAGCTTCTGATTTGTCTGATAAAAAAGTTATTGATCGAGTGCAGTTTATCATGGTAACTGCCAACATAGCCCTACCACTCTCAGCAAATGGTGGAAAGAAAAAAAAAAAAAGAAGGGGAAATGGAATCATTTTGCCTGCTTTGCTCTGAATTGGCTGTAAACTAAGCAATAAGCATATAGGTCGGTTGTATTGATTGTGGGTACCTTGTGACATAACTGGAGCACCTGCTTCAGCTTAGCATGGAAGATGGCTTCTAATTATTGTATTTGTTTGCTTCATTGCAGTGCTAGCTGATAAAAACATGAATGGCAGCAAATCATTTAAAGAGAGATTTTTTTTATTCTAGGTGGATATGATAAACTTTATTTTCTGTATCTAATCAAAGGAACATTTTCATTGAGTCCTATTTCCTTCATTATACCTTATTAATCACCCTGTCATTCTTCCATTTGTCTGTTCAGAACTGTGGTTTTGCTGGCTTTTGTGCCTGCACCTTGATACTTGTTAGGCACATTGGTTATAAGTTATGACAAAGATATGTTGTAAAAACTTTGATTATTATTTCCTCCCTCTGTCTATCAAAATTTATTAAAGGTCAGGTGATGATACTTAGTAGGAACATTGGTCATGACCACTAGAAGTGCCTAATAAATATTCTGGTCAAAGTTCAACCCCACCCTAAATTTGAATTTGTTTTAAATTGCATATTTGCAGTGTATTCATTTTTACATATTGTATAGTGTAAATTCTAAAGGAAAAAAAGGTTAAGTTACTACAAAGTTAAATCGAAAGTCTTACATGAACATTTCAATATTGATATTGGATTTGACCTTTGGCCATTTATTCAAGGTCAAAGTGGGATTGGAGATTATGAAGTTATAAATATTATTTGTTGTATAAATGTCAGGACTATAGACATTTATATTATGATTGATACAATGGATATTTCATTTCTGACCCAGGATTATGATGTTAATATATGCCACTTGAACACAGAGTGCAGTTTTTAAGAAAAATATATTGTCTGCCATCTTATGTCATACAGCAATAAATGTTCTACTTCAGTTATGCTCCTGGGGTAAAAAATGGCCACAATAGTGTTATCTGTTATGTGAGGTTTAGTGGGTGTAGGGTTATTGTACCACCAGCGTTAGCGCTGGCGGTACACATGGTTTTAGTCCCGTCCGGTTCGTTCCGCCGGCTCCGCCGCCATGTCACCGTTACCGCTTCTCCTCCTAGACTACAAGGGCCTGCGTACCCATCTCTTGGATTTGGGTCACCTATAATCTAATTTATCACGTTTGTGACTGTTCTAGTTTATGCATGATGTTTTTACATAAAAGTAACATTAATTTTGACTGAATGACTGATTAAACAGCAGGATAATTACCGCAGTTAACATTGTTGCTGCTTAATCAGTACCTCATAAAGGAAATACCTTTTCACCAAAATGTTGACTCACTTAACAAATGGCAGCTTCAGTGTGCCTTTTATTTAGAAATGAAAACGAAGACATCATCTCAGTAAATTAATCTCATGTTTCACATTGACTTGCCCAAAGTTACAGGATGAATTCTGGGCTCTTGATCTTTAGCTTGTCTTTACTGATAAACAAAAGGGTTCTAATTTTTTTTTTTTATATTTCATAACTAATTACTGAAACTCTTATTTAGCTCTGGTCACCCCTATTTGATTCTTACAGAGATCCCACCTTATCCCATCAGTAATATAAATATGTTACTCTTTTTTTTTCAGGCAAAGCGTGTGGACGTGAACTGCATCATGCTGCCTGCAGAAAACAAAAAGGACTTTGCCGACTTGCCCAACTTTATCACTGAGGGGCTCGAGGTTCACTTTGTAGATAACTACCAAGAAATATACGATACTGTTTTTGATTCCTAACAGACTGGAAAGCCTGTCATCTGGCACTGGCATCAGACTTGATTTGCCAAGATAATAGTCTGTACATTCTCAAAATACACCAACATTAACATGGATAACGTCTTACTTCCCTAGTGGTCTGTGTCAGTTAAAAATGTTTTCACAGGAAGGAGATGTTTAGTATAACCATCTGAATCTGTCAAAAATGCACAACATTATTGATACATTTATCTTGGATTTCAATTTAACAGAGTGGCTTTCGTGTAACATTATGATAATGCTTCTGCTTTGGGCATCTTATCTGACTGATCAAGCTGTAAAAAATGTTGAAATTTGACTTTAATAGTATTTGACCTCAACTGTGCAAATTATATAAACCCAGTGTACTGCTAGAAGAATTAAGTAAATTGGAAATGAGGATTTTTAAACCTGCCCAACAGGAATATCTCAATTGTATTTTGTGTGAATACATTTCCCTGAATGACATGTCCTCAAAGGCCATTTTTGGCTTTAAAAGGTAAGCTTTTTTTTTTTTTTTTTTTTTTCTCGGAAGGTTTTGTATTTCAAGTTGATATGTGGGCAATTATGTAGGAATAGTAGAGATAATCAATAAAATTGCATTAACGCTATATATTGCGTTTCTGCACTTATTTACCTTCTTTGTTTTCCGACTTGTTCATGATTTTGCAATTTCTTTTTTTTTTTCTTCAAAATTCATAATGATGATTGGCAAAGAAAGCACTGTGGATAAACGCCTTGATAACCTCCGCGAGGAGATCACTGGTACTTGTTTCCCCAAGTTGCGTTCCAGGTAATCTTGTTTTCCTAGATACCCATCTAACCTTAAGCTGGCTCTGAGTCTAAGAAGGCTGGACGGTCGAGCAAGAAATGGATATGTCAACTATTTCACCTTTTTAGACAACGAACCCAGAATAATACTAATAAAAGGGCCATACAAGTTTCGTTATTTTATAATGTCAATGTATTGTTGGAGCGATAATGCAACAAATGTGACTAACGCTAAAATTATCACGTTGTCAACACCCAGAAAAACAATGTTACTGTAACAATACAAAGATACTCTGACAACTTTTTTCTATCGGTAAATTCGACAACATTTTGCAGACAGTGTAGCGGCATTTCCTTCGAGCTACAACTGCAATATTGTCGTCTCCTGGAAAACTTTCATACAGGTCAGTTTCCTGTGTAGTGAGAAGAATTACCGTCCTGGCAGCTGCCGCCTGCTCAGTTGCCTTGATCGACAAAACGGTACATAAAAGATTATTAAAGTAAAATCCACTTTACCATCCGTAGTCTCACGTATGTATCAATTATGGTTCATAGATAAGTTCAGTAAATCTTGACAAAAATATATTATTTATAACAAACAGTGGTGCAGTAAATAAAGTTTATTATTATCATCATTATTATTAAATCATATTGGCACAATATACAGTTAGTTGTATTTCCAGAAAACTATATAAACCAATACATCCAGAGTCACGAGCAGTTGGCGAAAACCAGTTATAAGCGGATTAGGCGCATGCTTTTTAATTATTACTCGGAACAAAAGTGCACACTTGGTTCATCTTGAAACCTTGGAATGGGTTCACCTATTTGACGTGGCTCTTTGTCACCTGTGATCATTATGGATGGGGCTTCTTCGAAACGCGTGACTCTGTTGTATTTAAGAAACTGGCGAATTATAGTTTTTCGTCTGAAGTTGTGAACGTATAACATGATGTTCCAGTCTGTGTCAAGTTACTTTTGGGAAACTTGCAATGATTCAAACTTGTCAAGACTTTTGTTTGAAAAATGTTATAACGAAAGGCATATCTAACTATAATAAACAAGTCCGCTAATACTTGGGAGTTTCATGATACGCAAACTGCAGTAAGGTTTAGCCCCGGTAGGGAACGGCAGAAGCCAGCACTTCTCCATCCTGCGAGTACATATTAACTGCTTTTTTGGTCCAGTTAAAAGCAGGATATTGCTATCGCCTTGCCGGACGTTCGCGGCAACCTGCCGCGGTATGATTCATATTGGAATTTAATTCACTTTCGCTCAGATGGAAATAGCTCGCCAACAACGCATAACCCACTTTCGTAGAGCTTTATCGAAAGTCAATGATAATGTAGTTTGTGCAATTCTTTCCAAAGTTTCGATCTAAAATCCAGTTTCACTTCCTTGGTTTGAATTCGTGTATTAAATGTTTCAGTGAAAATGGGCGTCTGAGGTTTAAAAAAGTACCTAGATGATTTATACAGTGTATTATTTGATTGGCTAAAGTAGATCGTAGTAAATTGTACATATCTCCACAGTTTATAATATAATCATTTTAGACGTTAATTACAAGTTCAATAAATGTAACCAATTAACATTCGGCACACTGAATAATATTTATGCTGAAGATTTAACAAGAGACCGTAATTTTCCTCTGTTTCGTTCTAATGTAGCATCTTTATTATTATTAATTATTATTATTTTTGACATGGTACTGCCTGTAGGCCTAATACATAATCTCACAAATTCTAAATACATATCCCAACTTTTAAAATGTCAGTAAAAGATATAACAGAAATATTTGAACATGCCTTTACCAGCATAAGACAATAACAATATACAATTTCGATCTATAACGCTATACTTAGTGTACTTACGTCATGCTTTACATATGCACTGGCGGCCTCAGGATATCAAAACGGGAGGGGGACAAAGAGACGATCAGCCAGGTTAAACACCCCCTCCTCCGTCAATAATAATTGATCCATATAAAACAAAGCTATGTAGTCGGCAATGGAGGTGGATTCGCAGTTCTGTTATGGAATGGGGGGGGGGGGGGGGGGGGGGGGGGGGAGAGGCATTGAAGATGCCCGAGACATGAATTTGTGTGTGTGCATGTGTGTGTTAGTGTATGTGTAGATATATATACAAGAAAAGTTTTCGTATTCGCTATAATATTTTTTCTCAATAAAACACGTAACATAAGACGTCGCTGCTATTGCGTATCCGGAATTCTACATGATAGCCAAAGCTAAAGCATATTTCCGCGTTGGAACCATCAGCCACGACCTTTCATTATATAATACTCTCGTTGGTAAGGCTTATTCATTTGCGGCACCCTAGAATCTATATATATATTTTTTGTCCGTTTGAAGTAATGTTCATTCTTTCAGTTTGTGCCACTGTGCAATCTGTTTTCTGGGACAGTTCACCACTTCACTCCAGTGGCACAATTCATTCCCCTTAGTATGTACACCCAGGTCCAGTCTGCCTATGACCTCATTCTTGGTGACACGATCGTAGTCTAAGAGAAGCAGTTCCAGACCAATGTTTTCGAGGCCTTCGTTCGACGGTACGTCAAATACGAAAGATTCGTTGAAAACTGGATTGACGGTTCTTTTCTTGACGTGGGTTTTCTTTTTCGCAACACGTTGGCCGTCGTATAACAAATAAATCTTTACATATGGATCTGGAAAAAGAAGATGAAGAAGATAAATTACACTATTTCATACATATATAATGATCCATTTTATAATGACATTTAACGTTCATAATATATATTTATTGCACGACATTTCGTGTGTTGATAATTTCCTCCACCAGATTCGTCTAGCACTGAGAATAAACAGTAATGGCCAACGGGAGGTTAATTCTTTTTTGTCTGATATTACAAAATGCCTAACATAATTTTTGGTAGTGAATAAAAACGTCACGGGCAATGGGAAACTTCAGATATCCAAAGCTTTTCTTAAACTCTGTTAGATGTAAGATAGACAAAGTAATTATAGTACCATTACACATCCCACGAGACAAGCCTTGCGACCAGTGCCAATAACACAAAAGTAATATCCTTTGACGTATTGGCTGCCATGCAAATATTTTGTTTGTATCTATTCTAATGTAGAGTTGACATGCCAGGCTTCCAGATAGTTTGCTATCATCTCGATATTCTCAGAGTTCACCATTTACGTAGTTCCATCAGTTAATTGGAGATCGCAGTCAGATATAGTTTCTACAGGAAATTGGGTTGGCTTTGCATAATATGCAGGAACACAGCTACAGGTCGCTCAGATTCACATTATTTGAAGCAGGCTGTCTTTTACTAGATACACCAGCCGCATTTACTAATGTTATAACAGTATTTATTCTTAGGTTCGCGGTAGCAATAAAACAGACTGTGGTGGGCGGTACTCGAAATTTTTGGTTTGCTCTAATTACAGCGGTCGCGCTAATTGGCAGTCAGTTTCTGCTTAGAGAGACCCTGATATCTTCTTAAATCTATTACTTTTGATTTAAGTGAGTTCTGATGTTTTGGTTACCAACCCTGAGTAAAGTGGTTCATTAATTATTATTGGCCTCGAGGGAGGGTTTCTGCACTGTGACGCCATATTGATATTGGGACAGTAAAATATTTGTGTCGGTGTCATTGTCGGCGTGAAGGGTTACTTTCGTACGTGTGCTTCTCTGTATAATGTGTGACACATTGACAAGAGAATACATCTACTGGGATGTTTCACATCGCACTTGACTAGTAATCAGGTCGATATATCAATAGCTTTATTTGTATAATCATGCCTGAATTATTGGCAGCAACTCGTGTCGTGGGAATGGTATTACTGCCAACCTGTTGTGTCTTTGATATTAACCACCACTTGCGCGTCTTTGCCACATCCGTTATTTCACGCCGATTCATCAGACAGGCCATTTTAAATCTAACAATTAAAGGAGTTACTTGTGCTATTTTTGTATGGTGTCCAATTTTATTTTTCGCTTAGTTTAAAAGTAACGAATGCATATTCTCTGTGCTTACCCAACTGTTGTTATCTTCACATTCATTTTCCATTAGCAAACGTGTAAGTTCACAAATAGATCTTAATACTTGCAGTAGCATATGTCTAACTTTATAATTATCTCTCAATAATATCCTTTTACTGCTATATCTTTCGTTTTATCCTTGCAAGGAATACGCTTACGTAATATGTGAAATACGCAATGTAGGCCGTACAGATTCTGCGATTAAATTTTAATTTAAACAACGTGTAGGTGAGGTTTTTGAAGTGTTTCAGTAGAATTTGAGCTGTGCATGATGGCGAATATTTATGAGTTTCCATTATAAACTAACCACAATTACACTGCGAGGCTTGCGTTTCACGAGTCACTTCACATCCCCTCCTGGTAACGCGCCCACACAGCCTAATGCGCCAGACTTTGAGAAACTCCGTTTCTAGACAGCTCTTGTTTTTTTCTATATATTTCATTGGATTCTGCAATTCGCGTGACCCAGGAGAAATGGCCCCATCAAGCACTGAATCAAAAACCCATAAATCACAAGTAATCAGATTTCCTGACAGAAGATGCAGGATAGGTATTGATATAACGTGCGCATTATGACAAAACACAATCGAATCCCTTGTTTGCTACTGGTTCTAATGCCAATACGAAGACATTTCCTTATTATGTAAACCATGACATTTATATAAATGAAATATTATTGTTAAGATTATTAGTAGAATGGGTTAATCATTACTTCGTCTTGGTGATAGCTATTTCTAGTCATTCTGCCCTAGTACCTTAGAAATGCCCACGCCGAACAGGCATTGCCATTCAAAGATAATGTCACACATTCCCAAAAGTCGCGTGTTATATTAAGCAATTATGCACCAACGAAAGTTCTTGAATGAAAATACTTAGGGTTTGGATCTTATAGAACCAGCGGTGGTAATGATCTCGGTTTCCAAAATGTTGGAAGTTTAAGGTTAAGAAGAAAATTAATTCTAGGAATTATTATATATAGACCTGCTTCATTGCGCCGCGGGAAAAAAAACAGCTAAATTTAGGAATGAGGAGCGGTATGACATTTTACATGCCGTGTTGCATCATCGTTTGAAACGCCATTACATGACTGGGATTTCATGTCATTCTGCAGCTGTTTGAAGGCATTTCTTGAAACGACACCGCCACCTTATTTATAAAACTATCTCCGTTTATGTACATTACACTATGAAAACTGATTGTTTTTTTCTACTTCAGGCACCTTGAGGCATTCCTATGAATTTGCATATATATTATACATTCAACAGTCAAATATAAGTTCGAATCTAAAAGAAAGCAGCAAAGCTGTAAAATGTACAGAAATAAAGCAGAAAATTACTATGATAGTGTACAAAACAATATAACATGATGCTTAACAGCATAAATCACCAGCAATTTTAATCATATCTTACTGTTATTACGGCCATTCAGAAAATCTAACTAGTACAGGGCATCAGGCCCATGGGAGTTCAAAGTTCCACCTCAAAAATCCCATTGTGTGAAAAGTGACTTCTTCACAAAATACTGCATAACTTCAAGAACAAAAGTCCAATAAATAGCTGTTATTCTAATTTGGCCTGTATTTTGGTACCATAAATCAGTCCAGTAAACTGCAAGATAATAAGCCACACTTTTTTACATTTATTTCGTTAACTGTGAAAAGTACACGGGGACGCCGCCGACGACGACAGACGCAGGTGATGGCTGAATGTATAGATATACGGTGTCTGTACATAAAAATACAAATATGACTTCTACTTCATTGGTTCGAATGACAAGCAAGCGTTTCGACATGCGTGCATGTAAATCAATTTACGGAGATGTCGTAAAGTTAATCAAAATGCGGTTTCATCTACCTATGTCACCATCAATCATTTCTTCTACGACCATACATCCACCATATCCGTATTAAGGCAACGACGCCTTCATAATCAAATTTCAGCTGTTTTATTGACGCTATAAATTGAAGAAAGTGGTTTTATATGTATTGCCAATAATGCCTCGTTTACTGGACTGAAGCAGTCATTAACCACAAGACGGTGAACATGATGTCACCAACAGATACGTAATTAGAAACTCTTATTTATTTTTATCCCCTCGGCATTATACAGTAAATTCAATTTTGTTTGCTTTAACATGCGCGTTTTGCAATAGTCTCAAAACACTGGGCTCATGTAGCGGATTATCTCCACTTGCAGACGTAATATTACTATTCAGTCATGCGAATAAGAGCATTGACGTGAGCACTTCGGCCTGCCTTCATTCCAAGGAATATTGGATTTGCCAGAGGATATTAGGAGACAAAGGTCACTCACTCAGACGAAAATTGCTTTGCCGAGAGTGTATTTGGTCGACTATGCTTTTCAAATGAAGTTTCCAAGGAAAGAGAAGAAAGCATTACAGTGTAAAACCTTCCTCACGCCAGTGGATTCTAAAAGGCACGTAGATACTGTGAGGCCTATCAACTGGTCATGTTTGATTGGGTTAATATCGACTTTATTTCCCGTAATTCGATGTAAACAGAAAAAAATCTTTTCATAAAGATGCCTCTTCTAAGCCTCAATGTCACATTACCTGTCGCTTGGGATTTGACTAATTGTCGTATTCAGAAATTCAGAATGGCCTTCGTGATTTCAGCCATGTACGCCGAAGCAAACAAATTGGTGAATTTCAAAACGCGCTGAACTAAAAATATTTGCAGTTTTGCTGCCGTTTAAAGTAAACCCATATAATTGTTATAGTTTTTTTATTCCTTACACCTTTTTTATCATCAATATTTGCTATGTTTTATACATATATTCAATAATTGTAATAGCATTATGCACAGAGAGAGAGGGAGAGGAGATGTACACGGCAGATGTATGTATACACTGTACGCATTGGTAAAATAACATTGTTTTAACATAATTGTTTCTCTTTATTTTTACCTTATTACGTTTTTAGACATAGAGACCCTTCATTGACTTTTCCATCTCTCTCTCTCTCTCTCTCACACACACACACACACACACACACACACACACAGCCTTTGCGTACGGAAAATGAGATATTGGAAAACCTAGAAGCATTCTGGACAAGTCGATTACTGTCTGGTCGGTAATGCCATTATGTTAATAATTGTGCTGTCTATTCATTGCTTTTTATTCATAATTCTGGCGCTATTTGGATTACGATCACGCTATTAACTTGCCAAAGAATACAACATTAGAAATCCAACACTTCAGAAAGAAGTGAAATGCTTAGATCCCAAGTTATCTAAGGTAATTTTGTTCTCATTTTCCTCTGCTTTTCCTTCTTTAGTATAGATCTAAATTTAAGGCGTAATAAAACCAACTAACAGGAGGAGTACTAGTTAAATACGACATAACTTTCATTTGCTACATTAAACCTAAATAGATTGTATAGAACATAAGTCTGGAATACATGATATCTACGAAGACAAATTTAAGAATTTCAAAACGCGCTTAATAAAAGCACTTCTTGTTTTGCTGCCGTTTAAAGAAACCCCGGACTGGCTTTATGGTTTTTAGTCTCTCACATCTTCTTAATCAAAAATATTCGATATATGTAATATATATCTATTGAATAAATTGCCCTAGTAGGCCTATTATGTCTCTCTCTTTACATACATACATATATACAGAAGACATTAACTTTACCTGTACACAGTTAATGAAGTACAACTAGAAGTAGTAACATACACGTACATGTACCTGACAGGCCGGTGACGTCCATCTTGGGGAGATCTCTGGCCTTCAAGATGACCACAGTCAATCTGTTGGCCACCGGCTGATAACACAGGGAGACCAATAGTTCCCCGCGTCCCTGGGTTACTATCTGGAACAAATGGGAGGTTAATCTATACTAACAGGGAGGAGTATATGGTGTTATGATTTCCCTTAATATAGACCTGCATCACATTAGATATGTGTACAAAGATATTATACAAGGTACGCGTACATCTACAAATATAGACTTTGGCTTATGCGACATTTTGTTTTGCAGACTTTACAGAGGTCTGTTGCCGTGCGCAAAACAACAATGAAAACAACGAAAGCAAAAGTCTATAATTGCTTTATTGTATAATTTAATACCTAAAAGTAAATACCCTATAGGATAACATCATAAGATGCAACTTTGGTATCACCCAACACCGCTGTGGTCTGATTAATGAGGTTTCCTTTTCTTTGATTGGCCAAAAATCGTTGATATGATGATGTCATTCGTCAATATAAAGTTTTGGTGATGTCGCCCTCGGTCAATGTCATTTTTTATCATAGCTCAAATTCATGTACTTAAAGCCAATATTTATGCTCATTATAATTACTGATTGTGAAATAAATATGCTATGCGAAACGCCCGCGTTCCATTGTTTCAATCTCTTCCTATTTCAAACTACGGCTTGGATAGAATACACAAAATTCTCAAATAAAAATAAATTACCAGCACCAAACACAGAACGGTGTGTTATGCAATTAAAACAGAATAAATCATTATTTCTTGCAAAGCTGTGGACGAATCTTTTGAAAACTATGAATACTTGTCAGTGCAGCGTTTCTTTTGTATGAGTTCCTCAAGCCAGCGACGTTCAAATTGAAAGCCGTATAAAATGCAATACCCAGGCGACTAGATCTCAACGGAATTTCGTTTGTTTTCAGCAAAAACAAAATCTGTTTGACTAACCTTCTGTCATAATAAGTGTCTGGCATCTTTTTTGTAAGATACTAACAATACAGCATCATGCCTAGTAGTCTATCATAGGTGTCAAGTTGTAGAGCATTTACGTCTGTATTGATTGTTGAAAAAAAGAATGGTTGTAATTCAATTAGAGTATATGTAGACACTAATCTTACCTTCTGTTGCCGAGGAACAATTTCTTTGCAGATGGTTTTCTCTTTATGACCCAGTTCCACGTCTGCGAGAGGATACACCACTTCCCCTATGATTTCATCCCTCGAGAAACGGTCAAAGCTGACAACAACAAAATGGAAGGTGATGCTTTGAAGCTGATTCACACTGATCCCGTAGAAAGTAAAAATTTCGTCGTACGTTGGGTTCAAGGTTTTTCTGAGTACTCGTGTTTTCACTTTGTGTCTCTTGTCAGGGAGGAGCTGCAGTTTGATGTAAGGATCAGCAGTAACATTTGCAGGATCTTTAGCCGGCAGGTCACACGCTCTCAATATGGTGACGACAAGAGACATCTTCTTCTGGTCATATTGTACCGTGAAGTGAAGTGTCCCAAGTTTTTGCTTCTTTTCCTCCAAATATTTTTCCATGGTCTTTTCGTCATTTTCAGGGGTAAAGTCCCCCTTTTCGCTCTCCATGTGATAGGCCTCTCCCTTGAACTGCTGGGATTCTAGGTGTTGATGTAGAGGCCCAGAAGAAGATGGCGGAATCTTTTTGTCAGGCACCATTGGCTCCAAGCGCTGTCCATGGCCCGGACATACCGGGCTTTTCATGGAGATTGAAGACGCGCTGGATTTAAGGCTAGTGCTGCTGAGATCTTTCTTGGGTGCACGTTTAAAAGCCGCCGAGGCATAGTCTGGGTGATGTCTAAAGGCAAAGCGGCGTCTGTAGCAGGTTATAAAGCAGATGGACAAGGAGACGAGGAAAGCCAAACCACCAAAACAGATTCCCAGAATGGCACCCACGTGTACTGAAAAATATATATTTAATCAACTTATTTTAGAAAAATCTCAAAATGACTCTGACTAATTTAATATGTCACACATTATGTTTATCACAATTGGAGATATAATGGTCCCTACGTAAGTCAGCCATTATATGTTGTCCTTGTCATATTCGCCGGCCTCGATTCAGATGTTGTTTAAAATTCGCAGACTGTAAATATATATTTGAAAATACTGGTCTACAAAATTACTTTTGAGCATCAGTTTGGTATATGTAGTGACTGCCCACTGACAGTTGAAATACAACATTCATTCAGGTACGGCTGCTTTCTTTAATGATATTAAAAGTTCATGTCACCTTCGAGGATTTTGAAAAAAAAGGTAAAAATGACTTCATGATTACTCATCTGAAAAATGGAAAATCTTTCTTGTTTGCTGTTTTATTGAATTCAGTTAAATAGTTCTAAGTGTTCATTGCAATGCTTTGCACGGTTTCTGTTTCGCGCGTGCTGAAGTGTGTGTTACTGCTATGTATTAGCGTCATTTCCGAGACACTCTCGCCTTTAATCAAACTAATGCCATATGGTGAAAAAAATCATAGATTAACTCCTCCACGTTACCCTTTATATTAACACATCTATAATATCGCTGAGTATTATTCAATAAAAACACTTTGTTAATAGGAATAAAGAGAGATGAAGGTAGTGTATTTATCGAGCGCTTGCTAGGATTACACAGCAAACACTGATTAAGAAAGCAATTCAAGTCCATCCCATGATAAATTTAAAGCGCCTCCGCTTAAGGGTTAACATATGGTGAAATACTAATACATTCACTGTAGAAAGACTCTCTTTTTCTTTTGACATAAACACATAGCTCAGTTTTAATGGTAGTCGGTATCTGTATCTCTGTAAATCTACAGGAAATGGGCTTATTTTACATTTACTATGATTAATATTAATGAGACCTTTCACATTTTTAATTGGGTATGGTCTTAGCAAAAACGCTATTTCATTTACTTCTAATTATATAATCATTCATGTAACAAACTTTTCCTGACGCTTTGACAGAGAACTAAGTTGCTTCCAAGCTCTCATAAGATCCTACCACAAATTATTGCTTACGATCGTCTGCTTCACCAACCAAAAAACGACACAGGAACAGCAAAATGTGGAAGTTGATCAAAATGTATAGAAAAGACAGTTATCTAGAAACCAAGTTGTCTAAATTGAACCAATTTCACTGGCTTACCTGGATGTTCGGGTATTCCTTCTTTTAGTCCCATACTAAAACCCAAACAGTGTCATAGATTACGAGCTTTGGGATACTTAGGCCCGCACTGTCATGTTCAAGTCAACTCTGTGGCGCCGTGGATCGCTCATTAGGCGAACTGCGAAAATCGATGAAACCAGATGAACAGAATTTCGCTGCAGTGTGTAATATTCAACATCAGCGCACTAATCTAGTCTTGGCTAGACCAATCAATATCTCTGCTTTACAAGGCAATGCTTTTACTAGGTATATTTGATGTCGTGAAATATAGAAACTTTTAATGATACATATTTAATGTTTTTCACGTTTTGTCAAAACTACCGTAGAGACAGGAAGATAGAGTTCCAGATGACATGTTATAAGCCCACGGCTTTCTTTCTCTAGAATTTCATAATACCCAACCAATTTAAAAGAATACTGACATTTCAGAAAGGCTCCCTCTTCTAGCACACATGTAAGTCGCACAGAGAGAATATATGATGAACGTGGCTTTAAAAAATCGAAAATAATTCATAATTTTATTTTGAAATTTGTAGAATCGTTTTGTCTCGTTTTTCACGTTTCTGATTTGACGTGATAGGAAAAAACATCAGTGAAGGTGTAACATTGTTGCTTTGCTTCTGACTCACGGTTAGTGTCTTGTTTCGAGAACAATCTACGTCATCCATTCATCAAACATCGGTATGCTGCGCATTTGTCGGCGTTCCAAACACTACATGATGTAAACAGGCATGGTTAAAAAGTTCAAAGATGGATTAAGGAACAATTAACGATGGGTGATAACGATAAACGGTGAAGGTGCGGCGCCGCTGATGCGAACGATCATCCGGTTATTATCATTATTGTTATATATGACGAGCAAAACGCCGATTTTCAGAACTTAAGACCACTTATTCTTCCGATGTTTAAGTGGCATAAACCACCTCTAGGTTTGTGTTTACCACCCACACACTGTAAATATTAAAGAGGATAAACTATTCTGTTTGGCCTTCGTAAATTGAAATCCATCAAGAGCTTTTAAGATATCCATTACGCCATGGTTGAATCTTGTATATGCATCTACAGGGACCGATATCATAAGTCATAATAATTCGGACTGTATATCTGTTCTATTTGTTCTTTCCAGCGTCTCTTTCCGTCGGTTTTTATTTATTTATTCTTTTTTTTTTTTTTTTTTTTTTTTTTTTTTTTTTTTTTTTTTTTTTTTTTTTTTTTTGTCATCGAGACATACTGAGCAACCAATACATAAGATTTATAACCTAGTTTTCATCTAAATTTCATTTATATCAATTCACATCAAACATTACAATTTTTAGGACCCAATATCTTTCGACCAAGATATGTGTTGCTGATAAAGCAGTCCGTTCATCAGACTTACTGTTCGGGCATATTTTAACGAGGCCTGTTGATAAAATGTTCAGTGAGCAATTATTGTCTGCAAAAAAGGGCAATCCAATAATAATAATAATAATAATAATAATAATAATAATAATAGGTTTATTGAGCACTAAATGGTATGAATACATTTGCAGGCTCACTAGACTACATTATTTACACAATATATAAAGGAATATAATGCAATCACACTGAAACAAGAGAAATCATATTGGCCCTTATTTTGGAGGCTTCTAGTGATCCCAGTCCCATCGGAGTGAATTTTTGCATTTCGGCTCCATTTTCGTTTACAAATGTAAATCGTTTTTCCTCCCACTGTAACTGACTTCATTAAGTGAGGGGTATCGTTTTTCGATGCAAAAAAAAATTGATGCTGTATCTGAGGCAAAGAGGCGTTTGTGTAGTCGTAGAAATTCTGAGAGTGATTTTCTCGTGCATTATCGATATGTTCCAGGGGGGTTGTTTCTTTAATGTATTTTATACCATGTTTCGGGCCGGTGACAATCAGTTTACTAACCTTGATATTTTTTCATTAGGATTTCACTTTAAATTCCCTATGAACGATTTGTCGACTTATGGTCGGCTATAAACAACCATTCCATTTTAGATATACGGGGAAAATAATAGGTGCAACAAAAGGTTTTTATCGCGCTTTCGTTCTTTTTTCCTTGCCAATGCCCACTTCACCCTGTTCATTCATTCATTCATGACACAGTGTCGAGTAATGTCTAGATCACCTGTACACCATAATAATAGTAGTAATCATAATAATAATGGTCTCGATTTTCGATCATTTTTCACAACTTACCCATTGCATTATATAAGCTTTTAAATGCGTTTTTAGAAATACAATTGCTATAAATTACGCAAATTATGAAAACACGTATGTCTTTAAACCTAAATCTTTTCTTCTTTCTCATTCATTTTTATTTATATTTTGTCCTCAAAAGTGCATAAACAGATATTATAATCAAGTATAGTTCTTTCACGATAGATAAGAGTGATTTACCCCGGGTTTTTCCACACAAAATGGGGTTTTATTGTCATCATTTTATTCACAGGTCGACTCAAGACGCAAATACATGTTACATCTTTATGAAAATGACTTGCTACACATGCTCAAATTTAACATTTCCTCTAACTGAAAATGCAAGGAATACAGGTAAGCCAAGAGGGATCTTACTACCGTTGAACTAAAGAGCAACGGTTTTGGAACTTGATACAAAGATGATCGATGGAAAACTTCAAAATGGTCCAAGACGCCAGAAATTTGTTACATGATTTATTTACTTTTCCATAGCAGTATCCAACAGACGGTCCCTCGGGTAAATGGAGTTCTTTCTTTTGTGTCAAGCCTAAGCGAGCTTTGTGATTGATTGAGCTGTAAATGATGCAAGTATACCATTGAAGTATGTTAAGTGCATTAGTTGAAAATGGTAAAGAAAAAAAAGTAAAATTCAAGATAGCGCACGAACGTTAAAAATGTCGTTGGAAGGCTATGAATGTTATCCTTGGTATGGCCTACTGGAAAAGATTTTTTAAAACGCGATGAAAACCCTAGAAGAGGAAAAAGAAAAAATTGTTGAGCTGCCACTATTCATTTAAAGAGATGTACCAGTTGAGCAGTGGGCTACATCCCAATTTCGTTAATAAGTATCTTATTCAATAAGTTATTGTGTTTCACCGCTTTAAATCGAATTTTCCCCATACACATCTTGGATTCAGTGTTTTATGCCATTCGTTTGTATTTTCTGAATATTAAAATGGGAAATATAGTCGTCGGGTAATTTCGAGTTATTTTATCGTTTTAAAAGTCTGGATTGGGAAAATGATAGCTTTGCAGGATATGTAGACCAAAAAATCTGGGCAGTTTAAAACAGGTAGTGCCCTCTTACGTTAAAAGCCTCCCTTACCGTCAGATAGAACTGAAATGCAATTTAGATCCGCTAAGATAACGATTCATTTCTAGTCTGTTCAATTCATTTGCGTACTGATACATACATTTTATGACCTTGTACCTTGTATTATATAATATGTGATACTAACGTTTATTGTTACATTGACATAAGTGGTAGCTTATCTTGGGTGAAGCGCCATCTAAATGTGGGATACAGTGTTGATAAAAATGGCGGATCTGTCTGGCACGGACGATACAAGTTTGGATTTAAATACGACCCAAGAGTCACAAGATGAACAGCCCAGTCAAAATGGAGACCAACCCAAAGAGAGGAAAAGGTAATAAACCTGCTGTAATTATATTTAAAGCAGTTAAAGCTGACTTGATAACAATAAAAAGCAACTGATTTTTTGAAAAACCACGTGGGGCCGGTCGACATTTAGTGTTAATCTTTTGTTTCATTCTGGTAGGGTTTCCCATTCTGAAATCGTGTGAGGGGAAAGTCTTGTTTCTCGTTTAAGTGCAGGTGAACTTTGGTTGGTGTCTGAACTGATTTAAGCAGTCTCATTTGCTCGAAATGACTACTTTTATGACTATTTTCGATTTTTGCTTTGTGTAGAAGGCGTTGACACAAAAGAACTGATATCGAAACTACTGTTATCATTTGATTTAGTGGACCACTATATCTAATTAAATTTCAACTGTGGTTATTCCATTTAGTGGACCACTATGTGTATATAAAAGTAAACTTAAGCTGGTCAAAGATAAAATATTTTGTGAAAAAGTTGAGGCCAAGATTTCACCTCAAATATTAAAAAAACTTTCTATTGGCTTTCCCATTTGGAAATTGTGTGAAAAGAAATTCTTGTAAAGCTGATGATTGTAGGAGTATGTTGGAAACAAGTGGGAACTGCTAATCTGATTGCATTCAGCACATGTCCCAGTGGAGTTTGAACTACCTAGTATGATACTTTCATAGTGAACCACCCTTAGACTCTACTCTCTAGTAAGCATAAAAATATAAACTGAATTCCTTCAGTGATTAAAGGCTATTAATGGTCATATGAGCTTATTCCTTAAGGTTCCACTTAAATTGCTTTTACAGATCAAGATCTCCTGTAGACCGTGATAAGAAAAGAGAAAGATCAAGCTCAGGTACACGTGAGCCAAAGTCGCGGCGAAGGAGTAGAGCTGGTGCAGGTGGAAAGGAAGACAAGAGAGTTCTTATCACAAACATTCCATTTGAACTGACTTGGCAGAAGTTGAAAGATCTTATTCGGGAGAAGTGTAAGTTCTGTCTTTGTTGCTCATAAATTCAGCAGAAGCAACTATTCCACAACAACAATTTATTTCTGAAGATCTATAGGTTTGAGTTACTGTGAAAAGTCTTAGATATCTGATTTTCATTAAAATTATGCTATTATTTAAGTCAATCACTTAACTAATGCATATGTCAAGAAGTGCACATCAGATTAATTTTTTTCTTTCATTTTTTTTTTTTTTTTTTTTTTTTTTTTTTGTAAATTTGTAGTGGGAGATAGTGCTGTGAAAAGAGTAGAGATTTTCTCAGATGAAAATGGGAAGTCCAAGGGAGCTGGGTAAGTAATACTCCTGTCATTTTCACCATTGTAATCTTAAACTTTTTTTACAATTTCATGTGTACAAATTATTGTGTACATAAATCATCACTTTTCAACTTTTGAATAATTAAATTTAATAGATTATTTATTTTAGATCATTTTATCCATTATCTTAGGCTGGCAGATATGCGTGACTATGACATGGCCACGAAAGCTATTGAGGTGTTAAACAAGCATGTTGTTAGTGGGAGGAAAATCATTGTTCGAGAGGTAAGTAACTTCTCACTTACACAACAACTGATAAAGACAACTTAATCAGGCAATATATGAAGTGTTTGTTTGTTCAGTATTATTTCTAGAAGCAAAATATATTTAATTTTTATCAGTGAGGCCAAGTCTTGTAATTTAGATGATCTTAAATTGAAAGATGTTGTTGTTTTAGCTTACTGAGAAAGACATCCGTCGCTACATGCCCTCTCAGATGGGAGTTGGGAACATGGGTGGTGGAGGAATGGGAGGAGGAGGAGGAGGAATACTGGGAGGAGGAATGGGAATGGGTGGGGGTATGGGAGGAGACATGATGGGAGCGGGAAATGCTGTTAACCCCCAGTTGTTGCAGTCCCTTGGGATCGAAGGTCCTGTTACCAACTCAGTATTTGTTGCCAATGTAAGTATGTGAAAATAGAGTCAAGCAGATTGTATCTGTATGTTTTTATTTTTAAAAAGTTGTAAAATTCTATGACATTGGGATGCAAAAGATTTCATTAAAAATAGTGATGTGATAATGAAAATTTGTTGAATCACATGTAAAACTGTTGGAATAATATGTCAATTTTTGTATCTGTTTGTTAATTATAAGAAAAAGATTAATTACATTGGAGTGTGCAATCAGTAAAAGTCATAATACTATAATGAAAAACTACTAAAAAAAGAATACAATCTACATGGAAATTTGTTGAAATAATAATAAAATAAAAATTTTTGTTTTGTAGCTTGACTTCAGGGTGACATGGAAGAAACTAAAAGAGATATTTCAGATGGCTGGCAATGTGGTCAGGGCAGAGATCAAGGAGGATAAGGACGGGAAAAGCCGCGGCATGGGAACAGTGCAGTTTGAACTACCTTTTGAAGCAGTGCAGGCTATTTGTATCCTTTTCAATGTAGACTATGAAAAAATAAGTTATATACATTGCAACAATGTGGAAGAGGGCTGTTCTTAATTAATATGAAATAAATATCGAATTTTGATAGAATTAGAGTTTACATTTGAAATAGAAGTCATAATGTCTTGGCTTTATCAGGAAGCCATCTTCTGGTGAACTGTGATCTCCAGCATGAGATTTAATCATAATTCCATATTAGTTTAAATTGATGATCTGGAATAATCCTACATTAACATCACTTACATTTTGCTACTTACTGAGTTTTTTATTCCCAAAAATTTTTGACTTTTCATGTAAGCCAATGTTGTGATTCCTTAACTCTCACTTAGCTATGTTTAATGGTCAAACTCTTTATGACCGAGCTATGACAGTTAGAATGGATAAATTGAATGATTCCATTCCTCCACAACAGCCAAGGCTGCCAAGTAAGTATACCTGGATGCTCAGGGTGCCCCTATATACCAGGTTACTTTTATAAGAGATGGTTTGCTGTTATCACTGTACTACTTAAGAAGATAGAGGACTGTTGATTCACAATTTAGTAAAAATTAAGGATTGGACAGAAATAACAATACTTCCCAGTCTTGTTATGTCTTGAGGTATGTCAGTAAGAGAAGTATTTTGTTTTACCAGGTGGTTTGAAGGGCATTGGTATGGGTCTAGGCATGGGAGGAGCTCCAATACATGGACAAGGGGGACAGATGGGAAGTAAGTAAAGATTATCTCAATTATTATATTTTACTATATTTTATTTTAAGAGTTTTGATATGTTTTTTTTTTTTTAATTTTCTTGGCCAGTTATTTCTAGTGAAATCAAAACAAAGTGATTATGTCCTTAACGTGTGTCCCATCAGACCTTTCTGAGCTTTTGTTTTAAACTTTTCTTGTCTCCCAATTTTCTTTTTGCTTTTAGTTCAATTTTTCTACACTGATGTGGAGAATAGGCCTCTAACTGCAGCTTTTGTGTGATTGAGCAATGCAGAATTAACTCGTAATTTTTCATATGATTACAACTATTTGGTGTAAATATTTTTGAAACTTTTTTCCAGACATGGGTATGGGAGGAATGGGATCTGGAATGGGAAGTGGAATGGGCAACATGGGTAAGTGATCAATTTTAGACAGTTTTAGTTCTACTAGTTCTTTGTTTACTGAAAACTGAATTTTTTGTGTTTCCCCCTTCAACCCAGCTTGAAATTGATATTTATATCAGCCACACAGCTGTTTCACAAAAAAATTTTACAATAATTGTTATTACTTTCTTTTGATCCAGGTGGCATGGGCAATATGGGCATGGGAGGCGGCATGGGCAACATGGGCGGAGGAAACATGGGCATGGGCTCTGGGATGGGCAATATGGGAGGAATGGGGGGTGGTATGAGTAACATGGGAGGCGGAGGCATGGGCAACATGGGAGGTGGCATGGGGAGCGGCATGGGCATGTCTGGAGGTATGGGGGGTATGGGGATGAGCAACATGGGCATGGGCAGTGGGATGGGGGGTAACATGAACAACATGGGGATGGGAGGTGATATAGGTGGAATGGGCAACATGGGCAGTGGCATGGGTGGTCTGTCAGACATGATTGGAATGGGTGGTGGGTCCAGTGGGTTAGGAGACAGCATGGGCTCTGTGATGTCAGGCATGGGTGGATCCGGCAGTTACATGGGCAGCAGTGGGCTTGGGGACAGTGGACGTTATGGCAGCAGAGATGGTGGACGGCGTGACCGTAGTCGTGACAGAGACCGTGGGGACAGAAGAGGCGACAGAGGCCGAGATTATGGACGAGATCGAGATGGAAGAGGAGATGGAGGGAGCAGGGTGAGAGCTGGACAGGAAGGATGTTCAGTTATTGTCAGAAATGTGAGTATTCTGACTTACATAAATTAATTAACCAATCTCTTTTTAGTTCAGATCTTGAATTTGTAATTACTGGCACACAACAAATTTCTCAAAGTTAATGAGTGTAATTTTAATGAGTTTAAAGTATAAATGGTTGATGTATCTTAAGGATTGGTTTAATTGCTTGTTTGTTTCTCTTTTATAAGCTGCCTTTTAGCGTTGACTGGCAACAGTTGAAAGAAAGATTCAGAGATGTTGGTAAGTATTGATATTTTAACATATATGTAAATTAATTTAAAGGGATAATAATTCTTCATATGGGGTCTATATTTCACAATAAAAACATTGTGAATAACTCATAGAAATATATTCTGTTTTACGACAAAAAACAGGAGTTATAGCTATTATTCTGATATCTGAGCTAGTCTTCAGACCACGTGACCTCCATTGACGGCTATACTCTGTTATAATCTTTTAAGAGATTTTAACAAAAAACCAAACTTTTTAGAAAAAAAACCAGGGACTTACTTTGAATGTAAAAATGGATTCATTAACCATTGGGAAGTATAGGAAAATTATTGTTTACTCAAGGAAAATTCATTTTTTGGCCCAAACAAAGAGTTATTATCCCTTTAAATGAAATTTGAAAAGTAAACTATGATTTAAGCAGTTCATTTTTTTTGTCCCATGTTGATAGCCAGTATTGCACGCGTTACAAAGGTGTCATGATAATTAGCTAGAAAGTGGAAAATATTATAGATAATGATAACTCATTTCTTCATGTGTTATAGGTGATGTCAAGTTTGCAGAGATCAAGATGGACAACGGCAAGTCCAAGGGCTGGGGTACAGTCCGCTTCAACTCGCCCACAGACGCTTCGAGGGCAGTCAGTATCCTTACAGTAAACATAGATCGCTCATATTTGGTGCTGTTATTATTTAGACTTAGAAAATATTTTGTTCCGTCACAGGGTTTGTTTTATGGAAGAATAACATAACAGTGTGATAGAAGTTTTCCTTGATAGTTGCCCAGATTTGATGGATGGAGCCCTTGTTGAAGGACGTGAAATCTCGGTCCAAGTCTATGTTTAAGATGGTAGTGTATATAAAAGAAACTGAACTGATAATTGGCTTTGCTTTGTCGGATCCCGACTTCACTTGATCCACTGGTTGTTGTCAGAGTAGTTTTATTTTGTTCAGGTCCCTCTTGGTCCAGTGGTTTTGAGGAAGCCATCTTTAGAGACCATTTGGTTTTATTTTAAAGACAGAACCTAGAGTGGTCTAGATGTCAAATATCCAGTCGTCATGTTGAACTTAGAAGTTATGAAAGGACAGACATTTGAAATATACACCAGATCTTTTGGAAGCTGGTTCCTCTGTATCGGAGGAATTAGTGTATTCAAGATGCTGTAATTTCCTGGCACAAACTGGTGATTTTAATTATTTTACGTTGTACAGAAATGTGTGTCACATATATAGAGAATAAAGCTTTACATTATATATAAGTTCTTATCAAGTTGTTGGCAGTTGTAGTGAGTAGTGCCTTGTATTGGACCAGTTTGCAAAGTCCATTTTCATGTTTCTGATCTTTCACCATCTTGTTTTGGGTTGTGTGTGTTTGACAAAGCTTTGCGTAATTTACATTGGCTTCATTTTTAAAGCCCAATCCAAGATAATGACTCTTCTCTTCCTGAAATGTTTAGCGCCATTCAGTTTGAGTGGGGGCTAGAACTACAGTTGTTTGATGAAATGGCAACCTTGGTCATTTGTATGTTTTGGAAGGTAACGGGAGTTTTGTTTTTTTTTCCATTGCATTGACAAGTCTGTCATCAAGGATGGGTTAAAAAAAGGTTCATTACTGCCCCACTTGCTGCACCAATGTATGCCAACATGAAAAGTGGTTGTTATCACTGAAGAGTTAACTTGAAATCTTAACTTGGACAATATAAAATGATCATCAAAATGAAGAAGCTTGACCAGTTGTACAAGCAAGAAAATGTCGACAGCAACAACATTGGTTATTTCCAAAGGTCTGTCGACTTATTTTGATGTTATTTGACACCCTTTGGTTTTGCTGAGAATTCTCTGCTCACACAGTGGGGTGGTGAAAGAAGACTGCAGCTTCAGTCTCTAGGCTTTATAAACTCTTTGGTGTTTGAAGTTAACCAGAACAGGATACGTGAATGAAAATGTTCCAAAGTGTTCCAAGTTGTGATAGTTTTCTATATTACCAGTGTTTTGCTACACTTTAAAAAAGACAGTTCCTGTACCTCTGTCATAGTTTTCAGTATTTTCAGTGTAACAGTTCTTTTTTTTCATTATTTAGATGTCTTTGACTATTGAAATGATTTTGTATCCTAATTAATATGCTTTCTTGCTGTTACATCTTTGTGCATTGTTTTGACCCTGAGTGTTCATAATGTTTTTACTGTTTGTTAGCACAGTTTAAATAACAATTAAGTTTCATTTTAATATGGACACTCACTTCAGTGAATACATGGCAGCTCAACTGCTTTTTGCTAAAGGAATAAGCCCATTACTTTGTCTTTGATTATTTTCTTATCAGGCTTATGTTTGTAATTTTGACAGTTAAAAGAACAAAGTAGGTGCTTGTAGGAGACCAGATTGTTCTTACTGTTGATAATTTACTTTATATATCAGAGAAGATGGATTGCTTTTTGACAAGAGAGTGGTATACTGTTTTTGTAATCTAAGGAAGTTTCGTAATTTCACTTGTACTATTAATTTTCAGATGTGAATGGCATGAAGTGCTGAAATTTGCTCAATGGTTGTAGCATAGCGCACATGGAGCAGTTTTTATGATTATGTTGAACATTGTTGGGGATAAGCTCTATTAACATTTGTATATAGTTTTCACACTAGTTGTCAGGAATTATCATCACCCGGAAATTTATTTTTATCACTGAATTTGTAATCTGACTGATTGAGTGTATTGTTTAATTTTGTGACTTTTTATCAGAGTATGTTGCAAGCACAGAGTGGAAGAAATTGTGCCTTTGAAAATGGGGCCCCCAGCAGTGTTAATTGAATGAAAAGATTTTCATCAGTAGATCGGAAAGCTGTCACCTGGTTCAAGAACATTGTATGTCTTGCTGTGTGCTGGTCCAGATTCCTTTTAGGCTCCTCATGGCATAGATACAGGTCTTCCATATTAATCAGCATATGCTGAGTGGTGAGGTGCATGCTACCATTGGCGATTTAAATATTTTAAGATTCCTGTCCTGTATTAGACAACAGTGTGTCCAGTTTCAAGGAGGGTCAGTGGATGGAGAGTCCAGTGTGGTCATGTCCAGCTCTGGTTTGTATGTCCACTACCTTGGTCATCTGTCTCTGTGTTAAAGTGTTGTAAATCGCCTCCTAGTTGCAGTTCATGGTAAGGAAGTGGGTAAATATGGCAAGTTTGGTTTTTTTATTTACACATATTGCTAGGCTGAAATATATTGTTGGCAAGCTTTTCTCAATGTTTATCCAGATTTGGGCTATTGACATTTCTGTTACAATATTTTGATTTTGAGGTTTCATGGAAAAACCCATTCCTGCAGTTCAGTTCATTGTGGTTTCTTGAATTTGTCCGGATGCGTAACGTTTCATATTGTCCGATTGTATTTGGCCTCTTGTACAATTTATAAAAAAATTAATTAATATCAGATGTAAAGTATTTTTAAAAAGAAACTTCAAATAATCAAGAACGTGGCATAGATTGAAGTGGCTGAAAATATGTTTTCTATTTTGCCAGGAAAGCAAGTAAGGATGATAACAGCTGATAAACCATTGGTTTAAAATTCACATACTCTGCAGTGCCGAAATTGGTAAGTTTAAAAAAAAAATGAAATTTTTTACGAAAAAATTTTTTTTTGCCCTGTTATTCAGACACCACACAGACTTAACCAATAATATTATTGGGAAGTGTTACCCTNAGTTATTTATTTAAGTTTTATGTTTAAACAAATTTTTATTTTCAGCAGTTTCCAGACCAAGAAATGGAGATGAAATAACATGACTGTTGTAAAAGAGACGTGAAAGGTTTCAAAATTAGATTCTCTTCCTGGTTGGCAACATAAGATCCTGACATGGTGTGTCTTACATTCATGCAAATCACTTGTGAATAAATGTTAATGAGCCTTGTAAGTCATATAGAAGTCAAATACAATAATCTTCAGCATGTTAAAAGTGGCATCCACTCATGCTTCTACCCATTATATAGTAGGCATCCACTTTTGTTTCTGCTACATGAAGTATTAAATTTAGTAGTAGTTTTTTTAAAAGTAGTACTTTGTTAGTCATATGCATTTTTACTACTAGAAATATTGTGTTGGTGGCATTATTTGGAGTCTCACTTTATGTTGTATTTTTTTTTTTTTTTTTTTTTTTGCAGCGGGGTACTGGTATGACGATGTGATAGAAGATGAGGTCCTCCAGCTCCTGTTTATTCCACTGTGCCCAGGAATGGACTGAAACGAGATGCTAAAGTGCGAAATTGGGATGAAAAAAAAAATCAAATTTCATCCCTCCTTGTTGATATCTGAATAAACTGTATGTGACTGGTGCACCTAACTTCATTGTGTTCCATTTCTTATGCTACAGCCAGATTCTGTTAGTTATAACAATGGTTTAGATATAAAAGTATGGCTGCATAGCAGGCACTATTGCTAGATGCTAAGGAAAGATTAGAAGAGGAATAAAACCCAAACCTCAATGGGACCAACAAATGAAAGTTAACATTATTATTGCATTGTTTTGTACACCACAATTTTGTAATGAACAAACGCATTTATGATAAAGTTTGAAGTTAAAAGGCATAATATCAATTCCATACCATGTATCCGAAATCGTATGTACAATTTAAATAAATTTATTAAATTTTAAATAGGTGTATTACACTGCTCACTCTGTATCACTCACAAGTATGATCAAATCTAACATGAGCACCTAAATATATTTCACTGGTAAGAAATAGTCTTGACACAAGAATCTGTTATTATTTGCTTAGCACATACGCAATTAACAAAAATGTATTGCTTCTTAAAAGTAATTTGCTTCTCAAAAAGACTGGACATGTTAAGGCATGATTTACCAGCCCAGTCCTTTCTCAGGGGATCTTAATCACATCAATAGGAGCTCCAAAAATTCCTCTTCACACTAAGGAATGACAAACCTATCTCACTGTGTCATGAATTTGTGTACCTGCAATCCTCAAAAACATTTTTTAAAAGGTCAGCAAAGAAAACAACCTGGTGCATGAGCACAAAAATAACAACATCTCAAATTCTTAAATATAAAAGGGGTTGGTTACCTTAAAAATTTAATGTATAAATATGGCCCCATTCAGAATAGTGGACTAACTAGTCCAAAGGTCAAATATGGCAACCCACTTCAAAGCTCTCTGTCTAATCCGCTAATAAACACTGAATAGATATCCCATGGGGAAGTATTGAAGTGGGTCGTCTGTACCTGACCCTCGGACTAATTAATCACCTATTCTGAAGAGCCCCTATAATTTTAGATGATATTTCAATTATTTCAACAGCAATACATCTTAATAATTAGTCAGAGTCTTGGAAACTCCCCACATCAGAACCATCATCATCTTCATCTGATGAAGGTGAGCTGAAGTGTTCAATTGTCTTTAATGCGCTAGCCAACAAATCCACGTGAGAGTCACTTGGCGACTGTATCTTTTCTGGCTCCTCTGCTTTGTCTTTTTTTGTATGTCTTAGCTTGACTCCTACCTTTATCAGATTCATCAATTCATCATGGGGGGTAGTGGAGTGTGACGCTAGAATTGCAAAGAATTTTTTTTTCAAAGACTATACTTAATCTGATGGTATCTGTTTGTTAATGAGCAGCAATTCTGTTAATAATACAGAAATGAAATTAATGATAATTCTTTTTGTTTTTTGAACATATGTTTTGTCTGGCTTTGATAACAAGAAGAAAAAATGTGGAAAAAATCCAATTTTCTCAAAATTGGGGTAAGTCATGCTTGTAAATTAAAAAAAAAATTTTTACCTCTTCTTTATATCATTTGTTTCTAATGTCAATATTGCACTGTCTAATTACAAAGTTTTTCTACTGTTAACAAACCTGGTTTGGCAATGGGACGGTCTGCAGCCTTCTTGAGTCTTTTTAGCTGCGACGAGATGATCTGCTCGTCAATTCTGTGTTCTCCACCTGTGCTGGGGGACGTGTTCTTTTCAGCTGACTTGAGTGTCACATTGGCTAACTCAGCCAAGAGGTCTGAGGGAGAGGGTTTGGCAGTAGAGGGAGATGGCCCAGGGGCAGAAGGCTGACCTGGGGGTGGTGGTGGTGGGGCTGAGGGTGGTGGTGGTGGTGGTGGGGGAGGGGGTGCCATAGGC